CACCGCCTCGGGGGGCGGGAGGGGTCACCGCGCGCCCCTTAGTGGGCGGAACGACCACCGCGGTCCCCGCGGCGCCACCCCGTGAGGCGCGGGGGACAGCAGTGCGGGCGGCCAGGGCTTGCACTCCCTTGTGGGAGGCCCCCGGACCCACAGCCCCCGGGATTCTAGGCGGAGCGGCCTCTGCCTGTGCCCTCCAGTGCGGTTTCGGCAGGTTGGCGGGAGCCAGGAGTCCCTCGGAACTCCTGAAGCTCGCGTCTTGGCGCTCAGTGCTCTCTGCCTGTCTTTCCCTCCTAATCGGCACCCAGGGATACGTTTACTGATTTTCAGAGAGAGAGAGAGAAACATCAATCAGCTGCCAACTCAACACCCCAGCTGGGGATGGAACCGCAACCTGGCTGTGTGCCCTGACTGCGGATGGACCCCGCAACCTGGCTGTGTGCCCTGACTGCGGATGGACCCCACAACCTGGCTGTGTGCCCTGACTGCGGATGGACCCCGCAACCTGGCTGTGTGCCCTGACTGCGGATGGACCCCGCAACCTTTTGGCGCACACAGGGCAACCCTCCTGTCACCTGGGCTACTCGGCTGTGGCCTTTCTGCCTTGTTGTTCACAGGGGTTGGCATTATTTCAAATTTGGTTTGCAAAGTGAGACTGTCAGTTTTATTACTTATTGATTTTTGAGAGAGGGGGACACACTCATCTGTTGCTCCACCTGTTTTTCCATCCATTGGAGATTCTTGTATGTGCCCTGACCAGGGATCATACCCGAAACCTTGGTGTATGGGGGCGACACTACCCGACTGACCTGCCCACCCAGGGCTGCGTCGTTTTTGATGTTTTCTTCCTGTCTCTTTTGTCTGCTTTATTCAAGCCTTGATTATTGATTTGTAAGGTTCTTTGTAACTTCTGGGTACAAGTCTTTTATCAGATAAGTGTTTTGCAGTTAGTATCTTCCATTATGTGGGTGTCTTTTTTCTAGTGTCCTTTGGAGCACAAAAGTTTTTTATTTTGATGAAATTCAATTTATTTATTGCCTGTGCCTTTGCTGTTATATCTAAAAATTCTTTGCCAAATCCAAGGTTATGAAGGTTTATCCCTGTGTTTTTTCCTAAGAGTTTAATAGTTTTAGCTCTTACATTTATGTAAGGTAGGGGACCAACTTTATTCTTTTGTGTGTGGCTCTTTGGTTGTCCTGTAAGAAGTGTTTTATAGCCACTTAATTCCTATCATAGCCTCCAAGGAGACCAGGAAAGGAGGAGGCAGACAAGGGTCCCTGCTCTGTGCTTGTTGAGGAGGAAGAGGCAGAGCCAAGACTCTGATCCAGAAATATCTAGCTTTTGACCTTCCCACAGCCAGCCCACAAAAGGGTTTTCGTTTGTGGGACACATTTAATTTTATTTATGTTTTTAATCCTCACCAGAGGATTTGATTGATTTTTAGAGAGAGGGGAAGGGAGAGAAACATTGCCCTATTGCCTCCCACACATTCCTGACCAGGACCGGGGATCAAACATGCAACCTAGACATGCACCTCCACCAGAAATCAAACCCGTGACCTTTGGTGTATGGAAGGAGGCTCCAACCAACTGCGCCACAGCTGCCAGGGCTGTGGGACACATTTTAAGTTCATTGTATCAACGTATAAAAATTAAAAGTTCTCACTCATCAGGGCTGGGGATGGGGAGAGATTAATCAAAGAACTTATATGCATAAATGCCTAACCCATGGGCACAGGCAATAGTATGGGGAAGGCCTGGGGGTGGGGCAGATGCAGGGTGGAGGGGATCAGTGAGGGGGGGAAAGGGGGACATCTGTAATACTTTCAACAATAAAGATAAGTTTTAAAAAAAATAGTTATTTTCAGTAATAAATTTTTGGAAATTTAAAAAATAAAATAAATAAAAGTTTTCACTCAAAACCATGACCTAATTTTCAGCTTCTCACCAGAGATTGGCAGTTCTGACCACTTGAGGCCGGTATCTCCCCACGTTCAGCTGAGTCCCGGCTACCACTTCAAACAGGGTACACATTACCTGTCCCCTCCAATGTCACTTCTCACAGGTTAAAAGCTCTATCGAGCTCTTACCCACTTCAGTCACTTGTAAGCCTGTTTGGTCCCTGAAGGCAAGTGAGTTTCTGATTCAGCTGTACCACCCCTCTTTTCAGAGAGGATGACAAGCCTTGCTTTGAATCTGAGGGTTAGTGTATCAGTTAACTGTAGCTACATTACAAACTATCCCAAACCTAGTGCCTTGAGACAGTAACCACTTCTTTGGCCCACAGATCTGCAAGTCAGAAGTGTAGACCCATCTCTGTTGGCACCCTCACCTGTCTGATATCTGTTGTAGGTCAGCTGTGGGTGGCACTGATCTTGCCTGGCTGTTCTCACATGTCCTGGCAGTGCAACCCACACCTCCATGCGGCAGCCCAGTAGGTGCCCATAGAGACCTTGCTCACATTGCCCAGAACGTGTGCGCTCTCAGGATACTGGCCTGCCCATCATCTGCCCCATTCCTCTTCTTCCTGAGAGCACTGATGGGGACAATTCAGCCGATTGAGTGTGTGTTTGATGTTTCAGGAACCGGTGACCTTCTGGGATGTGGCCGTGGACTTTACCCAGGAGGAGTGGGGACAGCTGGGCCCTGCACAGAGGACCCTGTACCGTGACGTGATGCTGGAGACCTTCGGGCATCTGCTCTCTGTTGGTGAGGCCACTTCCTGAGCTGACTGGCAGATTCCTGCAGTAACTTATCCTTCATGGGTAATAGGTTGTAGGACCTCTGGTATGAGGACTTGACCTTGGGCTAGGAATCAGGAACCTTGGGTTCTCTTTCCCTGTGGAACATGTGGGCAGCGAGGTGTCTGCCCTGAAGCAAAGCCTTCACCTTGTGAGGCGTCCCCGTGTCCTGACAGTCTGGAGGCTGGGCTGGTTCCTTGTGTCCGGAGCAGAACCCCACATTCTGTGTCTTTCCCTTTTTCCAGGGCCTGAGCTTCCCAAACCCGAAGTCATCTCCCAGCTGGAGCAAGGCTCTGAGCTGTGGATGGCAGAGAGAGGACTTGTCCAGGGCTGCTGTCCAGGTAAGAACCGCCAAGTGGGAGGCCTGTGAAGACTGTGCATCCAGGCTGCACTGGGTTGCTGGCAGAGTTCAGCTCTGTGCATCTTAGGACTGAGATTTCTGGGTCTTTGCAGACTGTCGTCCAAGAGCTGGTCTCAGCTCCCAGAGGCACCTGCACTCCCTGACTGATGCCCCCTGCATAGCCGCTCTCCTTCTACCTCCCTTTTCTCATAAAGGTTGAGGGGATTGCTTTGGGCCCACCTGGGTAACCCAGCATCATCTCCCTATATATATATTTTTTATGTTTTTATTGATTTTAGAGTGAGGAAAGGAGAGGGGGAGAGAGAGAAACATTAATCGGTTGTCTCCCGAATGCACCCCGACTGGGACCGAACCTGCAACCCAAGCATGTGCCCTCACCAGCAATCAAACCACACCAGCCAGGGCTCATCTCCCTATTTTAAGGTTTAAGGTCAGCTAATAAGTGGTCTTCCTGGCACCTGCAGGACCCCTTCACAGCAGGACATCCATGACTATCTGATTGAACAGCCAAGGGACAGGGTTAGAATTCTGCCTGTCTGTGTTGCATGTTCTTTTTTGTTCCTACCGCCCTTTAAAAACATAATAACCTGATCACTTAAGTTATGTAATGTCTAGTCACTGGGTTATACACCTGAAACTAATATGGTATTATATGCTAATTGTAATTGAAAAGTAAAAAACCATTTAAGATTTTTTAAAAATACACATAAAAACCATCTGTAGCTGGGACGCTTCGTTTTTCAGCCCATGATCTAGACCTGAACCTGGCTCGTGGCAGGTGCTCTGGGAATTTTTGTTACGAGGATGAATGCGTGAAGCTCTGTTTGTATGTGGGGTACTTGGTGTTGACATAAAAGCAGGCATTTGCCTGGAGGCAGGACAGTTGGGATGTAGGCCTGAGCTACTGGGGCCCTGTCTCCTCTCTGTGTATTTTCCATCATCCCCTCAGAGGTTTTTGCTTTCTTTCAGGCTGGGAACCTGGATCTGAGGACCCAGCGCCATCCATGGACCAGGTCCTTCCCGAGGAGGAGCTGTCCTGTGTCATGGAAAGGGCAGGCTTTCTGGGGGACACTGCCTGTCCTGCCACACTAGGGGAAGGCTGGGACTGTGAAGCCCAGGTCAAGGTGCCTGAGAAGGACCAGGATAGTTTAAGGAAGTTGGAATATTGCCTCGAAAAAGCACGAGTTCAAGAGAAAAGCCATGAAAGTCTCAGACGTGGGGAAAACTGTGTCCTGAATTCGAACCTAAATCTGTTCCCAGAGATTTCTGAGAGAGCATATTTCTCTACTTCCGACTCTCAGGTCACAGATTCTGGGGGTCACTCGCTCTCAGTCACTCAGCAGATGGGCTCCTCGGGAGAGCAGCCCTGTGACCGTGGTGACTGCAGCACAGTGTCCCCTCCAGCTGTCTCTGTTGCGGAGCTCACACCAAGCCCCGTACAGGAAAAACCCTACAAGTGCATGGACTGCGGGAAGTCCTTTAACCACAACGCGCATCTCACGGTGCACAAGAGGATCCACACGGGAGAGCGACCTTACATGTGCAAAGAGTGTGGGAAAGCCTTCAGCCAGAACTCTTCCCTGGTTCAGCACGAGCGTATCCACACGGGAGACAAGCCCTACAAGTGTGCCGAGTGCGGGAAGTCCTTCTGCCACAGCACGCACCTCACCGTGCACCGCAGGATCCACACCGGGGAGAAGCCCTATGAGTGCCAGGACTGCGGGAGGGCCTTCAACCAGAACTCCTCCCTGGGCCGACACAAGCGGACGCACACTGGGGAGAAGCCTTATGCCTGCAGTGTGTGTGGGAAGTCCTTTTCTCGAACCACATGCCTGTTCCTACACCTGAGGACTCACACTGAGGAGAGGCCCTACGAGTGCAACCACTGCGGGAAGGGCTTCAGGCACAGCTCCTCCCTGGCCCAGCATCAGCGCAAGCATGCTGGGGAGAAGCCCTATGAGTGCCGGCAAAGGCTGATCTTCGAGCAGACAGCAGCTCTCACCAAGCACCAGTGGGCCAGCTGCGACTCGCCTTTGAATCCAGGTGAGACGGCTCAGCGGAGCGACAGGCCCTTTAAGTGTGGTCAGTGTGGGAAGTGTTTCATTCAGAGCTCGCACCTCATCCGACACCAGGTAACTCACACAAGGGATGAGCCTCGTGTGCGGAAACGGCGGCGGCAAGAGCAGCCCCTCGGCCGCAGCTCACATCAGCCTGTGCTCACAGGTGAGAGCCCTGGGGGCGGGACAAAGGTGGGACAGCCTGGGAACAAAGCACTTGCCCTATTTGACATCCGAGAGATCATGCAAGAGAAAAATCCAGTGCATGTGATTGGGGTAGAAGAGCCTCCTGTGGGCACACCCGTGCTTGACATCAGAGACTCCACATAGGGAGAAACTACAGATGACTGAACCACTGGTACAGAAATGTGGTAAGTTCACATGGGGTGTTCAGCACATGGGGTAGAAAGGCCCAGGGCTACCTCTGATTTCCTAAGAAAGATGCTGCCCAAACGTCTGCGATTGGTGGTCCTCAGATCTATCAAGCCCAGTGCCCCCTTTAACCAGATATCTTGTACTGTTCCCTCTGAACCTGAAGTGGATTCACAGGTAATGTCAGAATAGTCAACGTATGTCCCCGTTTTGGAAAGGATAATTAAAATAAAACAGAAGTAATTTATGATGGAGTGACGTGTACTGAGTTGGTGTGGAATCTCCACAACTAGGCTGGAGACCCAGCACTGCCTATCTGTTGTCATCTGGTACATGGGATCTGGGCTTGGCCATGAAGTATTGTGAGGGGCATTCCTGTGTGGGATGTGATTTTTCAAAGTGCTGACTCACTCTTGCAAAAGTTTTGAGCAAAACAAAATGCCACTGCATTTCTGGAAAATTCTGTATAAAATTCTCAGCATTCAGGAATTAATGTGTCTACACGTGAAGTTGACGGAGGGTCTAAGTTCACACAAACAGGTTGTTTCATATATACACACAAGGTCCCCAGGGGCCAGTCTGCACTACACAGGTATTACAGCAGCTTGGCTCCCACCCACATCAGCCACTCTTATGCCCACACAGAAGCCCTGTGAAATGCCACAGCATCCCCTGGGGGTGCCACAGCTCCTGTGACAACCATTGCCTTGCAACAGCCAGTGTTGGTCTAGGCTGGAGATTCTCAGATGGTGAGGTCTGGAGATATTTTTGCTTGTTATAACTGGCAGAAGGGAGAGGTGCCACTATTATCTAAGTGGGTTCAGGCCGGGGATACTATTCAACATCCTATCCTGCCCACATGTGCCCAGGTAGAAACAGCACCGCAGCTGATGTTTTCCAAACTGAATTGGTTGATCAGGGCTGTACTGACAATCCTGTACGTTTGATTATTTTTTTTAATCCCCACCTGAGGATATTTTTTCTGTTTCTTTTCAGAGACAGTAGATAGGAGAGAGAGAGAGAGAAAAATGGAGTCATTTCAGCTAGGTCATCACTTCTGCCAAATGTGTAACTTCAGATAATACAAAAACAGGACCTTCTTAGTGGTCCTGCCTCTGCAAACCTTACCACCTAAACGCCTCACTCTTTGCATTGTCCTGTCTCCCCTACCCCTGCCACAGCTGCTGGACAGCCCTGAGAGGGACTTGACAAGTCACCAAGTGGGCCAACCACACCAGAGCCCCTTTTTGACAGTTCCTTTTCACTGCCCCGTCAGCGGTATGGATACAGACTTAGAAATGCTCCAGCTACCAGTGCTGTAGGAATGGGAGGCCCAGCTGTGACTTAATGTTTTAGATGACTCTAGAACTGGGTCTGAAATTGCCCTCCCCTCCACCTGGCCCCCAAAATAGCAGCACCTGAAGGTTCTTGTTTCTGCAGTTCTCACAGTGGACACTGGGTGGGCTTAGGGTACAGTGGCCTCGTCACTGTCGGCACTCACCTCCCCTTCCCAGGCAGCAGAGATCTTTGCAAATTTTCCATTTACCTTTTCGGATCACATTTTCTAAGCATAATATTCCTATTGACTTCCTTGTAGATATATTTGAAACAGTTAAGAAACTCCTCAGGGGAAAGTACTATAAACTAGTGAACACATGGTTTTATTAGTTTATAAAAGTAATGCACATTTTTGGAGGAAAATGTGGAAAATGCACAAAATGAAAATAATACAAGTGTGAACATCTATATGAAATTTAATTCTTCATACTTCCACCATCCACAGATGGTCATTACCACTAAGATTTTGTTAATTATTCTTAGAATCTTTTCTTTAAAACGTGTACATACAGGGTGGGACAAAACTAGGTTTACAGTCGTTCAGATGGAAAATAATACAATGGTATGTCCAGTCGGTGTGGCTTAGTTGGTTAAGCATTGTCTCATGCACCAGGAGGTCTCCGGCTCAATTCCCAGTTCCAGTCAGGGCACGTGCCCGGGTTTCAGACTCCGTCCCAGGTAGAGGGTGTGCAGGAGGCAGCCGATTGATGCTTCTGTCTCATCTCTCTCATTGATGTTTCTCTCTGAAATCAATAAAAATATTTTTTTTAAAACGAAAAAATAATACAATAATAAATACAGCAGTAAACTTTCCCATACTCACAACTATAAACCTATGTTTGCCCCAACATGTATAATGAAACACTAAATCTTTTTTTTTTTTTAATATTTACATTTTTATTGATTTCAGAGAGAGGAAGGGAGAGGGAGAGAGAGAAACCTCAATGATAAGAGAGTCATCGATCGGCTGCCTCCTGCTCGCCCCTTGCTGGGGATGGAGCCCACAACCCGGGCGTGTGCCCTCTCTGGGAATTGAACCATGACCTCCTGGATCATAGATGGATGCTCAACCACTGAGCCATGCCAGCTGGGCAAAACACTAAATCTTATATGCACAAAAAATATTAACGCGTATGTAGTTATTTATGTTTAAAAAATTGAACTCCCTTCTAGTTCTCTGTAACACGTGCTTCTTACTTTTTTGTGCGCATTTCCCTCTGACAGTGAATTTCTTGTAGCTTTTCTAATTCCCCTTCAGGAGGATTGTAGGATGTGCCCTTCACTCAGCATTTTACCAGCCTTGACTTTTATTCAAAAGCAGAAGTTTCCTACAGTTTCCTGGAGAGCAAACTGACACAGCCTCTGGGGAGGGTGGTTTATCAGTTGCCAAGTTACACACAAACCCTTTGTGTCAGCAAACCTGTGGCTAGGAAGAATTCTACAGATGTGTCTGTAGGCGTGCAGACTGGTTGTACATGGTATTGATTTCAAAAGTAAAAACCTGGAAACAACCTCAGCGTCGACCATGGGGGACTAGCTGAGTGATCACTGTGTGGGGTGAACTACCCAGCCTTAAAAATGGACTGTTTTCGTGTACTGATGTGGGAAGAGCTCCAAGACACATGGTTGAGACTGTGTGAACAGTGTGTATTGTGTTTCCCGTTTGTGGAAAGAGGAAAGGTTTGCTCTCACGCACACTCTCTCTGAAAGGGTGCAAAGTAACCAGTTGCTCTTGGAGAGGCGAAATGGGGGGAAAGGGCTGAGGAATAATTTTCACTCTATATCTTTTGATATTTTTGGAATTTTGAAACATGTAGAAAGTATTACCAGTTCAAAAAATAAAAAGTCTCCACCCTTTCAAATCAAAGTAAGTTTAATAATTGATTTCATTGTTTACTGTCTGTCTCGCCCACTAAAACACCCATATGACTGTGTGTCTTGGCCACACCTATATATACGTATGTGAGTGCTTGTGTGTTAACGGAACTGGTTTTATGTAAAATAGCTTTGACTGCATGAAGTTTTAACTGGAAAGAGCCCTGGCCAGCACGGTTCAGTGGTTAGTGTCGGCACTCACACTGAAAGTTTGCGAGTTTGACCAGGCCCTGGCAGGTTCGGGAGTCAGTGTGCCTCTCTCACATCGATGTTTCTCTTTCTCTCTCCCCCTTCCACTCTATCTGAAAAGCAATGGAAAAAATATCCTCTGGGAGTATTAAAAATAATTTTTAAAAAGGTAACTCAGATGAAATCTGAATCCAGTCTGAAAAGCAGTCTCCTGTAGGCCTCCTGTAAGGAGATCCAAGGTGCAGTCAGCGAGGGTGTGCTGTCCAACATGCTAGCTGCTAGCCACAGGTCGCTATTTAGATAAAACTTAACCAAAGTTAACATAAAAATACAGTTCCTCAGTCACACTAGCTACGTTCCAACTGCTCACTAGTTACAAATAGAACATTTTCTTCATCAAAAAGTTCTCTTGGACGGTGCTGGTCTAAAGGCTGGTGGCTGAGAGGATTTTTTTAAAACTCCCCCTTGTGCCCGGCTGGGCGTGGCTCAGCGGTTGAGCATCGACCTAGGATCCAGGCGATCAGGGTTCGATTCCCAGTCGGGGCACATGCCCGGGTTGTGGGCTCGATCAATGGCTCTCTTATCATTGATGTTTCTATCTCTCGCTCTCCCTCTCCTTTCCTCTCTCTGAAATCAATAAAGATATATTTTTAAAAAAAACACACAAAAACAAAAACTCCCCCTTGTGATCAGCTGACTAGTGGGACTGAAGGCTATGGCCAGGTCAGCCAGCATACGAGGAACCCGCTTCACCAGGTGACACAGGCCTTCCACCTGCGGGTAGCATTTTCAGGTGCCACATTGTACCCAAGGACAGTCCTTAACTAGAGAAGGTCATTGGTACCACACAGGGCCTATCCATTGGTTTTTAAGGAGTCCTTGTGGATCCACAGAAAAATGAATGAAAAGAACACTCACTGCATGTGTTTATAGTAGCTCAATTTCCAGGTGGGGAGGGGGAGTGCCACTTGTGACTCAGGATGTCCCAAAAATGTATACACAGTTTAACAGCCGAGAGCTCAATTTTGAAAGAGATGTATTTTAATAAACACTGCCTTTATAATTTACGTGTGTGTGTACATTTTTGGGGGCCTCCCTATATTTGGTCTTCATCCTGTTTCTGGCACAGAGCTAAATAAAGTCTGTGGACTTACATGAGTGAGGTGACTTTTAGAAAGCCCATGAGTAACCTAAAGGTGGGGGCTGGTCACCAGAAGAACCCACCCTGTAACAATAAAATACAGTTATAACAATATACTGTAATAAGTTATGTGATCTCAAAATATTATAGGGTACTGGCCCTTTTTGTGATGATGTGAAATAATACACTCCTTGACGAGATGAAGTGAGGAGAATTCCCTGGACAAAGGCATGATTCACACTAGTTCCCACTCATCTTAGACTATAGTTCCATAACATAGTGCCTGGTCCATGGTGTGTTTTTTAAATGGATGAATGAACAAGCAGCCTTCCATAAAAGGTGCTATTACCCCATTTTACAGACAGAAAACCAAGGCCAAGGTCACCCAGCAGAGAGCGATGAAGGTGGATTTGATCCTAGATCTAAGACTCGACTTACCCACCAGACTCACTGTTCCCAGATTGTGAAAGAGACTGGGGGGTAGATGCGGGCCTGGGTGCATCGGTCCCAGGAGATGCTCACCCTTCTCATTCCTGTTGGGAGATGAAAAAGGCCCTCCCATGTCAGCCCTTCCCTCCTGAGAGTCTCTACCAGGTCCTGAATTTAGGACAGCTGGGAGTATCAGCTTCCCTCTTTAGAGCACTCTCCCACCTGGTATCTCACTATGTCCCCAAACAGCCCCTGTAAAGAAGCATGTTGACAGCCCTGGCAGGTGTGGCTCAGTTGGGTGTCATCCCATAAAACCAAAAAGGATGCCAGTTCGATTCCTAGTCAGGGCACATGCCTGGGTTTCCGGCTTGATCTTCAGTGGGGGGTGTGCAGGAGGCAGCCGATCAATGACTCATCACTGATGTTTCTCCCTCTCTCTCTGAAATCCATAAAGACATATTTTTTAAAAAATAAAAATAATAAAATATCTTTATGAAGGTACAGACTTCAGCCTGACTGCCGGGTTCAAATCCCCACATAATGGTCACTTGCTTCACCACCTTTGATCTAACTGCTTTGTGCCCTGTGTCCTTCCTTGTACCTCATTGTACCCTCACGAGGGAACTCAGCCAGCATTGCAGGGAGCCCTTGAGAACCTTGCGGCCTGGGGGTGGCATAGAGCTGCAGAGCTGCAGCATAGGGACTAGGCCTAGGCTCATGGATGGTTCCCATTTTATTTTTTAAGATTTTCTATAGATTTTTAGAGAGGAAGGGAGAGGAAGAAACATCGATGTGAGAGTGAAACACGGACCGGCCGCCTCCTGCACACACCCCACTGGGGAATCAAGCCCGAAACCCTGGCATATGCCCTGACCTGGACTCGAACTGGCAACCTTTCAATGAACGGCAGGATGCACAACCAATTGAGCCCCACCGCCCAGGGCAATGGCTCCCTATTGCAGAGGCAGGGGACTGAGGCCCAGCCTCCTAGCATCACATCAGGAGCCGCTCTCTGTGGAGCCCTGGCCTGGCCTGGGGTCAGGAGGGGTGGAGGGTGTGACAGGGGTGTGGTCTCGGTCATGAGGCCTTCACTGCCTCCTGCCATCCTTCCTCCCCCGCACCTGCGTCTGCTGTACCCAGGAGGAAACAGGTCTGTAAGTGGCCCACACTGGGCCACCAGTCCAGGGCTTTCTGCTCCAAGCGGGGTCCTCCCCTGGGTCACCCGTATCCTCGCCGGCCCTGCCCGAGCCCCGGCGCGGTGCTGTACCCCCAGACGGTTTCCGGCCCTCCTGGCGGGTCCTGGGGCAGGAAGCGGGCAGTGCTTTCCTGCAGCGGCCTGACTCAGGCCGGGGCTCCTCTTGGTGCCGGTTTCCTCTAAAAGGGCCGCGTAGCGTCGCTGCGCTCGGGGCGGGCTTGAGGAC